TTCTGGCTCTGGTACCTTTCCTGACCTTTTCTGAGTAATCCGTTAACCTCCAGGACAGTTTTCATCTTTCTTTAAAGGAAGGCGTTTGGATTCTCCCAAAGAATTGGTCCAAAATGGAATCAACTGCCCCAAAGGGTGGTTTTGATATGCACAACACTGAGTCTTATCTAAGAAATGCCCTCGTTAAACAGCTTACCAATAGATCTTGTATATTGGGATGTCACAATATAAAATGATAGTGTTATGACTGCCCTAGTAATATGACAGGTCAAATGGCACCATCATGAAAAAACTCAGACTCAAGACCTGATTACTATTTTGCTTACTTTCAAGTGAGCTCTATAAATGTAGTATTGTTCCCTTTCTGATCAGGTACTGGCTTTGCTTAGAGAGAACTATTGTTCCCTTTTGTCCCTCCAAACACCTTGTGGCTAATCTCTAGTCAGACCTCTCTTCTTGTATTGCAAACAGTGGTTTCCTTATTGTTTCTAGTAACATATTTGATGCAACAAATATTTTTTTGATATTACTGATAAGTGATATTTTTTGTTTTCAATATTATAACCAAATTATTTGAGATTAAAATATTAGCTATTCTTTCTCACCTCTTTCTTTGAAATTACTGTTAAGAGGAAGGAAGTTCTTTGCTGCTTCTTCATCTAACATCTAAATCCAGTCAAAGATTCTTTATGGTAAGAATTTGAACTATGTGATTTTGTGAAATAAGTCAGAGCAATGTCTTCCTGTATTCTTTCCAGAAAAACCCTGAGATCATGTATCTGGAGCAAGAACTAGAAAGCCTGAAAGCTGTGTTAGAGATCAAGAATGAGAAACTGCATCAGCAGGATGTCAAGTTGATGAAAATGGAAAAACTGGTATGTCTCCTTCAGAACAGTGGATTGAGGATCTTACCAAATGGGGTAATACTTGTGAAATAGGAATTGAGCTTGGAGATTTAGGATTGTGGACTTGAGTTAGCTGCTACTTAAAGATATTTGAAATCATACAAAAGGTAAAAGTTACATTTTCTTTTCCAAGTTTATTCAAGGCTGATTTATTGTGGCCTTCTCAAACATTTATTTTTCAAGGCCTATGTTGAAATAGCATTCAGTTCTTGGACAAACTATAACAAACAGATGAGCTCATGTTCAGTGGTGTGTGAATCTTTATCTGCATAAGAAAAGATTTTAAATAATATAAAATCAATATTTTAACATACCCAAACCATTGGGGCAATGTAATCTGTCTAAATCCTCATCTTTTTCAGTAAATTAAAATATAAAATAATTATGCTTTAATAAGATTAATCCATTTGGACAAATAGCAAGCATTGTGAAAAATATGAATAAATTTAATTCACAGCATGCAGGACAGAGAACAGAAATGTGTGCGTGCCGAGTCTACCCAGCACCATGTGTTTGAGGAGCTTGCTGAGTGTTCATTGTCAGTCTTGGCTTGGCCTTGACACAGCTGCTGCTAGCCAGCACTCTAACCAAGTTGGCAGGGCTGGCAAAGCAGCTTAAGTGATCCCAGGTGTTGCTGTGCTTTGCCCCTGACTGTGCCCATCACCTAGCACTACTTGCCTTGCTCCCCCTAGTTATGGGTGACTCATAGTTGAATAAGTTTCTCTTTCAAACCCAGAGCAGCCCTGAACAATAGGGAGGCTGGGAAGTCACTCTTGTCTGTTTTTTGTTCATTTAGAGTTTGAAGATTTGATTTAGTTTGGTCTAGAGACTATGACTTGTCTGTGTGTACATATGTATATAAACTTCATATCATCAAGAAATCTTGTTTTTTGTTTTTGTTTTAAGAACTGAAAGGAACTCACGGTTAATAGGCCCAACCTAGCAGGCATACCGGTTGCTGCCAAAGGTCACGCTGTTAGACCGGGTGTGTTAGCTGTGCTAATCAGGCAGGCAGTGATGACTCAGATTATCCTGTTAATAATTTGTTGCCCATATGCCATTTATGCATCAGAACTTTCTAGATGATCATGTGCAATAAAACAGACCCTGTTGTAGAAGTAATAACATGCTTTAATTTTTTGTTGATCCATAGTATTTGTTTCTTGTCACACCCAAGAGGTATCATGTTAATATCAGTTGGTGTCCAATTGTTATATGTTTGTACACAAGAATGTGTTGCTATGATGACAGCTACAGCCTGAGGTTGACTAAGGAAGAAAACTTGATATGAATGTGAAAACTAGCTCTGCCAATAATTAGCTCTGACATTTTCATTTTCAGGACTA